ATCCTACACCCCAGTAATTTCATATCGTGACGTAAAAGTTCTATAAAAAATGAACTACAGAGAAATTAAAAAATCGGCCTCTGTTAAGTTGTAGCCCTACATCTTAGCTACATTTTAAAACCAACCCATGCTCTCTAACGTTAAAAATGGCAGAGAAATCTGCGACGGACGAAGACCCATTTTTGAACCTTGATTGTGAGCTAGCTCTTGATAGGTTTAATATTTCGAGCTGAAATTTTTACTGCGAGGTCATCATACCTAGATACACCATCTCTGAAAGTTTCATTAAGATCGGATGCTCGTAAGCAGAAATGGATTTATGGGTGGGGGGTGGGCCTTAATTAAATGAAATAGATAGTCGTTTAACATTTAGTGTCTCTTCATGGGTTCATACAGTATTATTCAAGTTTTTATACAATGAATGACATTGTAACTGTGAACACAAGTAGTTTTGTGAAGATGATAGAAAATCTACTCAAAGATGAAGAATTGCATTTAAATTTTGACCCAAAAGAAAAGAAATATTTTTATACGTATGTATGTTATTAGTAGTCATTATTCTGGTATAGTTTCCTTTTGTGTTTTTGTTGATAAAAATTAAATGAATTTTTCTTTTGTTAATATAATTATACGAAGAGCCTTCTAATCGGTTTTTCTACAAAGTAAAATTGATTTTCAATCGGAAGGTGCACTAGGATGAACTTTTCATTTGATCTTACTTTTTCCTTATGTCATATTTTTAAACAATGAAAAATCGCTTGTCTATATTTAAGTTTACTTCCAGTAAAACGTTATTTGAAAAACATCCTCCATGATTCTATTTTGAAAATGGACCAAGCTAACTTCTATACGCCATTTTTCTTCTCACAAGTTGACAACTTTTATACAAATAGCAATTCAGCTTCATCATATCTTAGTTCTGTAACAATTCAACTTTTAATTAATGTTTATATTCCTCCTGCATATGCTCTGTCACAAATCTTAGGTAATCAAACACGTATCGATGTTCAAGTCGATATGTCCTGGACTTCAGCTTTAATTATATTTACTTCTAATGAATCAACACTTACAATATTATATATTGATAACAATAAACATTTTCCACTAGTCTAACAGAAAGTACATTGCTAATAGTAGCATCATTCATTATATTCTGAAACTATCGCATGGACACCATTGGCAAATCAAATTGGAGCATAAAGTACATGTGCTGTTGCTAGAGATAGTATGATTGTGTGACGTACAATGTGAATCCTTTTTGTTGTTTTCTTTTGTAGTGCAAATATACTGTCAAATCAATTTGTCTTACATTTGTGTTATATTTCTTCCATTAAAGTCTCATTCAAATTACTTTTTACCTTTGTCAGCCTATAGAAACTTCTTAATTTAAAAAATCGAATTGGATTGCTGCTTTCGTTCACCTAAAAAGCAAGCTTCGTTTGTATCATCAATTAATAATATACTGATTTAGATGTTAGCTCCACTGCCTCACATTCTAAATAACTCTAAATATAGTTCACAGTAAAGAGAAACAAGGAAAAACTATTTGTTTTTAGGCAAAACATGATCCAGACAAAACGGTACCGATACGAAGTTTGTATACCGGTGACCGGTACCGGTATAGCATTTCTGATACCGATTATATCCTTATAGTGGTCTATCAAGTATGGGTATGTGTCCGGGAACTACAGGAGTAACAACTATGTTTCCTTCGTATGTATCTTACAGTTTCCATTCACTGAGCGTCCGCTTTAGTCCCCCAAATTTAGACAGGCTCAAACTCTGACAAAATATTCTTGTATCTACACGGATAGTATAACTTAACATGAACATTTTTGCACTTTCGTGTAGATATTAAGTGGTAAAAGTGTCTCAAACTGCCTATGTCTACGAATTTTCACGAATTTAGGCTAAATATTTTTAATTTCATCTGAAAAGAGACCGTATGTTGAAAAATATTCGTTAATTTATAAAAACTGTAGGTTATTTTTATTTGATGAAAGTGAGTATAAGAAGAAAATGTTTTCTACCAACAACCTTTTTTCAATTATTATTTTCTATTGCGAAGCCATATAGTAGTAGAGTTTTTCTATTGTGTTACATAACGCCCGGTAATTTTCATCATGTTTTAATTATATAAGTCAAATACCTGTCAATTATTGTTTTCTTTATTATTCAAATATTTTTCTTCAGATAGGTCGCACATACTTCGCGCCTTGGCTGACGAAGATCGTCTTGGTAGTTACTACTTCCTAATGACTGTTACGTCAGCGCCAGTAATCATTTTTTTGTTACTTAATGTATTCACACATGTTAATAGTTCACATTTTGAAGGTGGTACAATAACATATAAAATATATTCATTTAATTCATCATACGCACAAGTTCTCATAACTCAAACATATATTTATTCATCTGCTATAACATGTACAAACGCAATGATCGCTTCTCAATCACCAATCGTTGATCTGTCAACTAGAGGCGATTTTAATATTTCGTTAATTTGTGTAGCAAATTGTACAACAAGTGGCGGTTATACACCCATACTTCATACTGGTTATTGTACAGATTTAAGTGCTGCCTTAGCGATAAGTGTGACACAACGTTCTGATTTAGAAACATTAAGTATTGGATCATATTTTCAAGTTGCATTTCAGCAAAGTAGTTGGCGTTCATTGACTAATGGTGGGTCATTCTGGAGTGTTGCTTGTACAATTAGTCTTATTTTGAGACCAGATGGTTTGACATTGAATACACCGCCTGTAGCAACACTTATTTCACCAATTGCTATACCTGTGGGTGTTGTTCAATATATTCAAATTCCCACGATTGATGCAGACAACGACGATGTTCGATGTCGATTTGCAACAGGTGCTCAAGAATGTGCTGATGTTTGTCCGCCAGCATCACTTCCGTCAGGTACAACAATTTCAACAGACTGTACGCTGACAATAACGGGAGCACAAGCCAATGATTGGTATGCTGTTGCATTACAAGTAAGATTGATTTTTCTTTTACGTTTTTCTCAAAGCAAGTTTTAAGTAATACAGTACCGCAGATCATTAATTTATTTCTTAGTATTGCCACATTCTCGTTTTTTTCGTGCGGGAGTGGAACGCAGCGGTAAATATTGTTTGGTTTTTGTGAGGGCACTTTCAAGATCCATTGCGCATTTGCATCTGGATGTGTTAGATTATGAGAAAGTTTTTAAGAAAATCAAACACTCGGTCAATATGGCGTAACATTAAATAAACATTTTCATTTTCTGCAAACGTTCTTAGTCGATTCTGCACTCAAAACTGTGAAAACCATCACATTTTCGCTCTTTCAAATACTACTCACCCTACTATGCGAAATGAAGGGACGAAAAATTCCTGTCGCGAGATTCGGACATCATTCATTTTTTCAGAAACTTTGATAGTTTTTAAAAAAGCTCATAACTCAGCAATCAAAAGGGTTCAAAAGTTTAAACGTAGAATTGACGGAGAAGATTTTCAGAAAAACGTAGTTTTTTTCAAATTAGGCTCGTTTTTCGCTCGAATGACGAAGTTCTCCTTTTAAAAGACGGATGTTGATATTCTTCTTGCATCAAAAATTACTTTGTTTTTATTTGCTTATTTAGATTGAAGATTTTTGGGATACAACAACGAATACAGCATTTAGTAATGTTCCATTACAATTTTTAATTCATGTTTATGCTACACCATCACCCTGTTTAATTCGTCCATATTTATATGGAAATTTTACTGCCGGTGAATGTGTTGGTGTACAAGTTGGTCAACCATTTACAATGACGTTATTTTCCATTAATTATTGTCAATCATCTGGTTATAATATATTAGATATTGCAACATTATCATTTCCAATTGTAACAAAAACAACAATTGCACCATTGAATTCAACTGTTTCATATGTTACATTAACTTGGGTACCAGCTGCATTACAAGTTGGGTCACAGGTCATGTGTTCAGTGGCAGTCGATGAGTATGCACGTCTCTTCTGTTTTGATTGTTCTTGTTCTTCTTCACTTTATGTTATAGTCAATCTCAACAATCAAATCAATACTGTGTTACATTCACAGTGGGCGCTTCGAGTGTACCGTCATGTCCGGGTGAAACTATAGCGACAACCACAACTACATCGTAAGTATCTCTGTAATCAGTTATGAGGAATCTCACCAAATGTGTCCTCGTAATCAGCCCAAAATCTAATCGATTATAGGTAATAAAATATGCTGACTTCAAATCTGTTAGTCATTCATGATTTGAAGCTGATTTAAATGTGCCGTCGTGTTGGTCACACAATACTGTCAATATTCTCAAATTTTCATGAAGTTTAGATCGGTTATGAGAGAGAATTATAAATTTTTAAGGCTATAATGCTAGGTAAGTTCAAAAATGCGAATATAAAACAACTAATCAGCTTAGGCCTAGTAAAGTCTAAATATGAAACTCCTTGCATAAAAACGAGAGTTGAATTGGTCTTGTTTGTAAGGCAGCACACAAACGATACAATATTAGTTCTATGCAGTTATGAACTCAGGATCCTGTTCGTCGACTTTGTAAGGATCAGGTCGTCAAGTTTGTCGACACTTTTCAAGGTAGGATAAGCCTGTCTCTTAATGTGTATCAATTCACACTCTTCTTTTTATATTTCAGAGACACTAAGAGGAGTTTCAAAAAATTACAGAAGCTTTAAAACTTGTCCTAGAAAACTAAAAACTTCTGGACATACATAGTTTGACATGAACTATAATCTAGCTGGCTCAGAAATCAATTTTATGAAAAGAACATTTTGACCTTCAAAAACCAGTATTTTATATTTCATTTTTCGAACGAAACAATATCTCACAATACAAATGACTATCAGATTCGGAATCAGCATATTTTATCACCTATAATCAACTAGATTTCTCGCTGATTGCGAAGATTCCTGTAGAGGTTCTCGGCGTAGATAGAGACAGTGAGCTTAGAAGGACGACAAAATGGATAAGTTGATACCGGTTATTTATCAAAGTGAAGATACATCCGATTTAGAAATAAATTCCCATACTGTATTATTGAGCAATATATTTGTCATTCTTCAATTTTGTTTTACTCTTACTTTCTCATGTAACTTACTTATAATGCATTTTACTTCGTTTCATATCTTTTTATAACAACAGAAAAGTACTGCTATCGTCAGATTGAATGTTTAATCTTTTTTTCTGTTTTTAAGTACGAGCACCTCTACAACTTCGACTTCAACTAGTTCTACTACTTCAAGTACAACGACAACTACATTAACGTAAGTGATTCCTATAAAGCAAAAACAACTTGTACTCTCCACCCCTTAGGTTTCAGAACTACAACGTTTTCCTGATAAAGTCTTAACAAATATGTAAATTTCAAATTGAAATAAAGGATGTGGTGTCAAGACAAGAAGTTCTCCTCTATAAAACCTACTTAATATCGTCATTTATTAATTAATTTCATTTTAGTACTTCAACAACTTCTACAAGTACAACGACAAGCTCTTCAACCAGCACATCCACAAGTTCTACTACAAGCACAACGTAAGTTTTTATCCCCATAAAAAGAAGTAACGCGCTAATTCAATTTTTTCTTTAAAAAAATTGAAGTAATGCCGAAAGCGTTTTTTTTATTTTTCAAAAAACGAAGTAAATGCGTTCTTTTGTTTTTGAAATAATAAATATAAGCGATAAATATAAATCGCATTTTTATCTTTTCAAACAAAATAAACGAGTTTTCTTTTTATTTGAAATGAAAACTGGATTTTTCGTTATCTGAAACCTATTAAGCGTGTTTTGTATCCAGTCCTAAATTTAAACGCGTTTCCTCAAATTCAAAAAAAAGAAGTACACGCCGCAAACTGCATTTCGGTTTATTGCTTATTTTTTGTGGATCGCCTCATTAAAGATAACGTTTCAAAAGAAGCGTATTGGGGGAATCCGAAGGGGTAAAAATATGAGTGGAATGCCGAGTCGAAAGTCCATTTCTAAATTTATCTTTTTTTTTCCAATATTTACTTATCCTTAATTTTAAGTACCAGTACGACATCAACATCAACATCAACAACAAGTGTTACAACAGTGACCGTATTAGGTAAATATTCGCTTTAGAACATTTCTTGTTG